ATACGCTGAGCCCAGTGTGGGGATGTGGTGTTAAGTTCTTGCGGTTAGAGGGATTACATTCAAATAGGGGGCTGAAGGCCTAAACAGAAAATGATAATGGCCCTGAGAGAGGTTGGTTTCTTACCATCTGTTAAGTTGTCTTCATATTGTACTTGGGAGTAACTTTGTAAGAAGAAGACTGGACTGGAATGAACGGGCTGTGCTAATTGTTGATTCTCAGGACCTCCGTTTCAAAAACTGAGAAAAATTAAATCATTCTTTACAAGAAATGGAAAAGAAGACAACAATAAGGGGTCTAACGTTAAGAAATTTGAAGAGTTGGCCCCGTGGTCGGCAAGGGAGGTGTTTGGAAAAGGAAAGGCAGGAACATTTGGACAGTGGGGCAGAAGCATAGAGGTAGGAATCGAAGGGCAGGTAGAAAGCTGGTGTTTCAACCTGAGAAGAAAGTACATGGCTGCATCTAGCTAGAGTTTTGTCCAGCCCAAGAAAGTTTTATCAGGTGTGACAGCTGCGACGGCTTAAAAAGAAGTCCGCAGATTCTTCAGCGCCTCCTCCCTTTGGAGGGTGGAGCCGGGTCCCCTGCCCGGTGCATGGCTGTGTTCAGCCACTCACTTCCAATGCTTCTCTCCGGCCATTCATCTGGGGGAGCCAGCTGCCACCCTATGGGGACACAAGCAGCCCCCGCCCTAGCACAGCGTTCAGATTCTGCACTCTCACCAGTGCCTGGACTCACGTCTCAAGGACGTGACAAGCTTAAATTAGAGGACTCTGTCATACCGTTGCACTACTACTTGTTGAGTGGGGAGCATGGCATGGCCCTTTTCATCTGATCCCCTAGGTCTGTGTCACAGAGCCGGGTGTGGAGGACCACCGCACAAGAGAACAGGTGGTGGTGCCTTCACGGGATTGTTCCCTGTGCCTGCGCTCTCCAGTGGTGCCCCAGCCATCCCATCAGGGGAGATTCCCCGCAGGAATGTCTGGAGCAGAGGCAGACTCCCAGGACAGGACCAGAAAGGTGCCACAGACGGGGAGGTGGCATGGAACTCCCTCCATCATGGGACACTTTCACCTAAACCACATTCGCAGTTTTCTCAGGTGGCTCCAAAACCACTGGTGGTTGGCTTAAATTTTATTTCAGTTCTCAAACTGCATGAGGATCCCCCGGGAGGGCTCATTGAGACACAGATTGCAGAGGTTGACCCAGGCGGCTGAACCCACCGTAGAGCTTGCTGTTCCTGCAAGGCCCTGGCTGCTGCCACTGCTGCTGCCACTGGCCTTGGGAGCACACACGGGAATCCTGGCCTGCTTCATCTTCACATCTCATGTGGAGGCATTCAGGATGACACGTAACCATGTCAGTGTATAGATTGCTCATTTTCCGATTTCCTGTGGGGAGTCTACTCAATGTGAGTGAAGAACACTCCCAAATTTTCAGCACTCCTGTTTGGCATAAGTAGGTTCTCTGTCCTTAATGTTAAGTTTTCTGCTCAGGAGCCCACGAAACTGAAAATTACCCTTTCTGCTGTGTCCGTTTTACTGCTATAATGCACACAAGCATGCACACACCTTGATGGGAAATTAAAGAGCTTAAGTGAAATGCAAATTTCCCTATTCAGAAAGTAACCTGTTGATCATTTGGCTTAATTAAAATCGGGCATACATGTATTTACTACGACTCACTCCCATACCACTGCCCTAGAAACGATGCCACTCTATCAGAGAGCTGATGAAAGTAGCTGTAAAACCAGCGCAGTGCCTGGGTCACTGTCATCTGTAGGAGTGGGATGGCCCTCCGTCTCTTCCTAAAGGCCTGACTTCTAGCACCAAGTATACATCCTTATTATTTAGAGCGAGGAACTTGAAACGAAAATAAACATTGCCTTAAGGAAAACCTGAAGCCATCAGGAGGGGGCTGAGCGATTTACAACCCGTAGTAGCGGTTTACACTTCAAGAAGTTCACGGAAAGATTTGTATTATCTTTCAGTTCTGTTTTTTCATGACGTTTTGGAAGTGCCCTCGTCTGTTGTGGTGTGCACAAGTGCTGTGTGGTTGGCCACGTGGCTCTCCTAATCTGTTAGCACTAAGCATCGGGGCGGTGACAGTGAACCCGAGGCCCCAGCCTGGCTTGTATGTGGTATCCCTGTCGGGCAGTACCTGTTTTCGTTTGTCTTCCTTCCAGAATCACACGTGGCCACTAGCTTGGATGGTAACACCGAGAACGCAGAGGCCTGCTTCCACTCGTCTTCTTGTTCAGTCCTGCAAAAGTAGTAATGACTTGAGAATTGTGCCATCACACGGTTCCCTTGAATGTCATTTTGTACTATTCAGAGTATCATGTTGGTAGGGCTGGTTGATATCACCATCTCTGGCAGCAGGGTTCCATGATCCACTGAAATAATTGTGGAGTTCTGTGTCTCCCACTACCCTCCCGGCCTCTCGTGGCCGTGATCCTGAAAATAGCATGTAGCCGAAGGCCTAATCTGACAGGTCTCTGCTAGGACTCACCCAGGACATCAGGCTCTGGGTTTAGCTTGGAGATAAGTTGGGGCTTTCCCCTGCCAGGTTTGTTCTTGTTTGGTCTGTTTGGGGCCAAGGGACACATACGTACAGACTATAAGTACCATTGTCCCTTTCATTATGTTATGCTAACAGCCGTGGCTGGTGGGTGAGCCCAGCTGCCCTGTGCAATTTAAATGTTCTCAGACACGGGTTCCCCTGCGTTGTCATTCGGGTAGATGGAGTGGTTCCTTGTTTTGCAAGATCAAACATTTATTATTTGGGCTTTTGTAAACTCAGTATAAGAAACAATGGCCTGGATGCTTGTGAATTTTTTGGAGGTCCTGCTGGGGGAGGGATGCAGAGCAGGGCAGAGCTGCTGGATCCTCAGCCTTGAGAGAGCCAAAGCCAAAAGCTGGTTTAGGAATTCTGCTGTAACTGCATTAGGCCTACTGCAGGTGGGTTGTAAGGTGGATGCTACCTAGCAGGCTGAGGAGGGAGAGATTTTCCCTAGTTTGGGGCTGGGGAGGCTTCTCCAGGGCCATATATCCTTGGAGCCGAGCTGTTAGGGAATGGGTGACCAAGGAGTGGAACAGAGGATGCCCCAAGAACCACATGAGCAGGAGTGAAATGGGATGGGGGAGGGGCGTATTTTAGTCTTGTGGACTGGAACTGTACGCAGGGGCTGGGTGGGCAGATGGGTTTTATTCTGAGGCCACTGGGGAAGGCCAGGGCCCCTGCCTCTCCTCCTAAGCCATGCTGCCCCTTTAGTGCTGCGGGGAGGTGGGTCCTTGCTCCCTTCTTCTTTATTTTTTTAAATGTTTTTTTCATTGACACGTTGCAATTGTGCATATTTATGGGGTGCAATTTGATGTTTCAATACATATATGTTGTGTGATGATCAGATCAGGGTATTCGGCATTTCCATCACCTCATGCATTTATCGTGTCGTTGTGAGTACATTCAAAGCCTCTCCTAGCTGTTTTGTAATATGCAGTGCCTCCTTACTTATACCCATGTGGAACACAACACCTGACCTTTTTTCCTCCTGTCTAACTGTAACTTCATACCCCTGACCAGCCTCTCCCCATCCACCCCACTCTCTCCCCTTCCCGGTCTCTGGTAACCACTCTTCTACTCTCTGCTTCTGTGACATCAACTCTTTCTTTCTCTCCCTCTTTTTTTTAGATTTTACATGTTAGTGAGATCATGCAGTATTTGTCTTTCTGTGCCTGACTTATTTCATTTAACACGATGTCCTCCAGGTCCATCTGTGTTGTCACAAATGACAGGATTTCATTCTTTTTTATGGATGAGTAGTATTCCATTGTGTGTATGTACCACATTTTCTTTATCCATTCATCCATCATTGGGCACTTGGGTTTATTCCATTTCTTGGCTATTGTGAATAGTGCTGCAGGAAACATGGGACTGTAGCTATTTCCATATACTGATTTCCTTTCCTGGCGTTTGGGTATATACCCAGTACTGGGATTGTTGGGTCATATGGCAGTTCTGTTTTTAATAGGTCCCTGATTTCTCGAGCACTCTGTCATCAGCCTGGTGCCTCGCATAGCTCAGGGTCAGCTCCGGTTTCTTCAGAGGGTTGTCCTGACCCCGAGCACCACCTCCCCTGCCCCCCATCCTCACGCATCCAGGCCATGCCTGCCTGGCCTACAGTCAGTGTTCGGTAAATAATTATTTGTTGAATTAGTTAATACTGCCTTTTTTTTTTTTTTTTAACAAAGAACATTCCTCCTTCAATATCTTTCCTGCATGTTTTTCAGTAAATGAGATAAAAGACTAATTTTAATAAAAAATGATGGATTTCTAAAATATACTCAAATATAAGTAAGGCACTGACTAATCACAGAATTTAAACATTTCTCAATAAAATCAGTGCCCAAACCACACATACTACACCCCCCTCTGGGATATTATGAACTGTGTTTAAAACGCTACCAGAATTTTCCCCTGCTCTTATTTATCTTTAAATAGCTTAGTATTAGAAAACTTTTGATGGCTTAATTTGTAGTAATGGTAGAAGTCACAAGAAGTAAATTTTCTAGCAGCTCCCTACATGCAAACCACTTTTAGTAAATTCCAAGTCTATCAAAAAATAGTTTGGGAAATGAAAAATTTGTTTCTTGAGCATCCAGATTAACATAGGTGCCATACATTCCTTAATGACTTTCTACTTTTCAAATAACTAGAATGCATTTAGCACCACCAAAACTGTGCTAAGCAAAATGGTAATTTTTCTTTGGTTCAGAATGTAAGGATCCTGGGCTGCCTTCAGGTCATTCTGAGTATTAGATGCCATTACTAGACATTAAAACAGAGACTTGACCATTTGAGCCACATGGTGGTTTGGATTTAGGTAAACGGAAGATTTGGATGATAGTACACAAAATCATTGAGTCCCACAGCATGAAGTACTGTGGGTTTTCCGGCATCTCCTGTCTGTGACCCACATGTAACCCGTGTTCTGCTTCCTCCCCAGCCCAGTGACTTCTCCGTATCTCTTAAAGCATCAGGGAAGAACAAGCATTTCAAGGTGCAGCTCGTGGACAATGTCTACTGCATTGGGCAGCGGCGATTCCACACCATGGACGAGCTGGTGGAACACTACAAAAAGGCGCCCATCTTCACCAGTGAGCACGGGGAGAAGCTCTACCTCGTCAGAGCCCTGCAGTGATGGCGGCCCACAGGCCCTGTGCCCAGCCAGCTCCAGGCCCTCAGTGCCACACTCACCCCCAGGGCCAGTGGTCAGCCAGTTTTCCTGCTCTGCGGAGGGTCCGTCTGCTGGTGGTTCGCCTTGACCGGCTTCCTCTGGCTTCCTTTGCCTTGTCTGTCTTTCTGTTCAGCTCACTCTGTCGCTTTGTTTCCCGTTTGCCATCCCAGGCCTCACACCCACGCTTGAGCCCACCGCCCCCACCCTCCAGCCTGGGAGGTAGAAAGGGGCGAGCTTGTTCACTATATTTCTTTTCCGTTGGAAACGGCGAGAGTGTCTTTAGATTGCTCATGCCAACAGAATCCTCATTAGAAAGACATTGAGCACAGCCTGAATGCACTGGAGCCCTGGGCTCCTCTGCCTGCCAGGCAGCAGATGCAGTATCCCTGGTCCCAGCGGCCCTTGTTCCTTGTCCTGTGCCATGATGTGGCTCCCAGACTCTGCAGGGAGCGAGCGCCCATGCTGATAGCAATACTGGAACCACCAGAGAGACAGCAGTGAGCAAACTGTCTAGTGCCTTGGGGCTGTGCTTGCAATAAAGAGAGAATTCCCTTGAAAGTCAGTCTGCAGAAGAGGGAACCATGACTCAGAAGGACAGACGTTTTGGTAATTTACCCCACATGTGCCATCCACATAGTGCTTTTTCCTCTTGCCCTTCGGCTTGTTTGAATTTCACAATTATGTATTTAATTCTCAAAGTAATATGTATCTGTAGCCGTTTGTTGACACTAATGCAGATGATTAAGGAAAAGAGCTGATCTATGGGGAAGGGGGGCTGCCAACACTTTATACACACACACACACACACACAGTATATGTATATATATATATATATATATATATACTGTATATGTGTGTATATATATATATATATATATATAATTTGCTTTACAGGGAAATTTTTCAGGGTTTACAAAAGAATATGTGATTGGTAGTGAGAGACACAGAATGTTTATGAAGAAATTGCATTTTCTCTTTTCTTTACATTTGAACTTCTTTATAGTTTAAAAATACAGTCTTGAGATGGCACATTCCTACGATTGAAGAAGGGGTCTTGAGATCCCCTAAACTTGCATACCCAGTTTTTTGGATATTGTAATAAAAAAAAAAAGTATTATGACAAGACTCTGTGTGTATTTATCTGGAAAGAGTCAGAGTCAGGGAGAGTCATTACTGCAGCATTTACTGAACACTCCTTGCTGAAGGGGAACATTTTTAGGGAGGAGTTTAACATGTTTATTGAGTGTTTTCTTTTCCTACCCCCACAGTTTTGTATATTGAAATAATAGTTTTTAATTAGTGAAACTCCAAGAGAACCCAGAATCTCAAGCTTGGTCTTCACTTTACTCTCTGGAAATTATTTGTTAAAAAATGTTTTACTGCACCGCTGTCAGCAGAGCTCTCGTGGTCTGTGTGCCTCTCCCCTGCTGTTTTGCTCAGCAAGTGCCCACTGGCACTGCCAGCATTGTCGGTCACTGGCACTGCCAGGCATGGGCAGTGCAACCCAGTGGTGCAGGTTTTGTGCCCCTGAGGCCAGCCATCGCCAGTACGTATTGAGCACCCTCAGGGCCAGGCACAGGGTCCCCATTTGTTCCTCCTCCACCCTGTGAGCTGGGTCCTGCTCTCATCCCCATCTTACAGATGAAGAGAGCGAGGTACGAAGTCAACACACAAGGACACTGGGCCGTCGCGGGGCATGGCGGGGATGCAAGCCAGGGGTGTGCCCCAGGCCGGGCCCTTCCCACACAGCCTAGGAGGGAATGCAAGAGGAGTGAGGCGTTTCGTGAGAGTTTGCAGTTAGCGTACCGCTCCTGTCTCCTGTGAGTTAATTGCATCTTTTCATTGCCTTTGATGGTAATAAATTAGAGGTTTGGTATCTGGTACCTGAGGTTGGCAGCACCCAGTCATCTCTGAATAGAGTTTCAGGTGAGTGAGACAGATCATTACCCTAGACAAAATACCTCTGTTCTGTGCCTTATCCATGGAAAAACAATTCCTGCAGACTGTTAAGATTCACTGTTGTGCATTACATTTTGACCTTATGCTAGAGTCCCTCTAAAAAAATGAGTGCATGGTCAGCCAAAGGACTGTGACTTACATGTGGCAATTTGTGAGGAAGCGAGCAATCAAAGGATGAAAGACAGACACACATTTGGCTTCAGGAGCTTCTTCAAGGATTGTAGTTGTAACTGATAGTTTTTTCATTCGTGTCACATCTGCCTTGTGAGAGTCTCCCGGCTGCCTGCAGTAGATCAGCATCAGTTAACATGTATTTTATTAAGGAACCGGCACCCAGGATGTCCTGGCATCAGGTGGACCAGTGGATGGTGGATTGATAGTCCAGGATGAGCCTATAGAGAGAGTGGGTGGTCAAGGCAGGATCCCATGGGGTGTGGATAACTGATGCTTTGGCCAGGTGGCACTAATGCCACCAACCTTCCTGCAAACCCAGAGATCTCCTGGACAAATCTTGTTTTGCTACTCCATTGCCTCTTTGAACAGACAGCAGAGGACAGTGAAGGTTAGTCATTCTATAGCTGGGCAACTTTGCACACTTCTTCGCATTTAAATATGCCTTCATTTTATGTAAACACTGTGCCACGTCTGAATCCCACAGAAGTTCAGTACATGGAACCACCCAGCCCTTCACAGGCAGCTTACAGCCAAATGCCGTGAAGTGTTGTTTCTAGGGAACTATAACTGTCACCTTTTTTTCTCAAAGTGCATCACAAATTAAAATCTTTAATTAGAATCTTTATAACTTCTGAAACTGATATTTCCAACCAAAATGTTTTCAGTGCCAGTACAATTTGTCTTTTGGTTTCTGTGTGCTACCTGGTTTGTAATGAACTTTTCTATCATTCTTGCTGCCCAATGCAAGTCTGGCAAAATAATTTCTTAACACCAGAGTTCAGAACTGAAAGGATAGGAAAGTTTGAAAGTATTATTTAAGGTATCACTTTTCAATAAACGGCCTGGTTTGGGCCTTTTTCTCACTCGGGTCCAGCATGGTTTATTGTTGGCGTGTGATTGCGTGATCAGCAGGGTCATTTCAGGGAGCTGGCTGCTCTCCCGGAGGCAGCGCTGGTTCATCCAGAGGCTGGTACACCTGCTGTAGGCCAAGCATGATGCAGTGCCAGGTGTCCTTATTAGCCCTGGGGTTTCAAGCAGATGACCCAGCTTCTCCAGACGTGTTTGCTCTCAAGTGAGATGGGTCTGCTGTCCCCATCGCAGGGTGGCCTTGGCAGAAGGGTTTGTGTAAGGCATACGAGACAGCACGCAGCTGTCTTTGCACACATGCCCATCTCTTGAGATCTCCAGTGCCGTGGGCTTCCTCAGAGGACCGAAGAGCTGTTTCCATCAGACCCTCCGTGTGGTCTTTCGCTAGCAGTCTTAGAGCCAGTCCACCCCTGTGTTTTAGAGCTTGGACTCCTGAGGTGTTTGAAGAGCTGTTGTTTCAACAAACATCTGTGGCCCGTCTTTCATTAAGCTCAGGGCCAGAAGCCATACTTGGCCATACTCAGCACCACCTTCTTGCCTGAGGGTTTGACAAGTTCATATCCCTAAAAACGATCCTCTTTTGGACAGGAAACAGCACTATTTTCTCCTTTGTGGGGAGGGAGTAGGTGTGAAATACGAGATTCTCTGCCTGAGTTTGACAGCACTATGGCCTGTTGAGTACTGGGCAAAAGTTGACCCAGGCCAAGGGTCTTCAGTGGATGTGCGCCCGCTGCTCTGAGGAGCTGCCGCTGCTGTTCTGCTGTTCTAAGAACGCGGCTCACCCAGCCCTGGACAGGCTATAGTTCCAGCCATTAGAACATTTGCTCCTCCACTCAGAATTCCTCACCCACTCAGATTCCCATTCGGAGGGGCAGGGACAGTCACCTGCCTGTTTAACATGCTCCCCGGAGATTCTGATGTGGGTGGCTTAGGCCTGCATTTTGGCTAGGGTTCTGGTCTCCTTGACACCTTTGGGGGTCCGCCTGTTCCCACCTCTGTGCTTATGTACACACACTGCTCTCAACATGCGCCTTCTCCAGCGGGTCCTTTTCATCAGACCATACAGGGAGAAGTGTCTGATCTTGAATGCCTGGAGTGCTCTTTTTTTCCTTTTCTCACCAGTCCTTATTTGCCTTAACCTCCATTTGCATTTCCTGCAGCATAGCTGACTAGAAAGACTTGCCATGTTCTATCTTTGGAGGATTCTGCTGTTTGACACTAGGTTAGTGCCGAAGACAACTGGTATAAAAGCTCACCTTTGACAGCTTTTAGAAAATGTGTGACCTCTTCCCCTGGGGCGGGCATTTGGCCATCCCCTTGGCTGGGTGACCAAAATCTGTAGCCCAAGTCAGAAATCAGAGCACCAGGGCCTTGTCCTCGAGCTCTTGCTGGCGGGCAAGGGCATGTGGCCTTTCAGAATTAGGTCATGGCCTGAGGAAGCTCCATGTCCACAAAGTCAGTGGACTTGTACAAAGCAGAGGTCCTGCTCTCATGGTGATGGAAGCGGCCCACCTTGGCATCCTCCAGGGCTCTGCGCTTCACCAGCGGCATGAACTCCTGCACGTTCTGGGGCCTCTGGGCTTCCATGGCCTCCAAAACACAGGTGCACAGCTGCATTTTTTATACAGCCATTTAAGGATTCTCTTACAGTTGATAGATGTTATTATACATTTAAATAAGGTAAACTGCTTTACATAATAAGATGAAATGCTTAGAACTTTTGTTCAACTTGTTAAATGAGCTTAATGAAAGAAATAGGTTAATGTGACAAAGTCTTAACCTAAATGAAGCCAGTAGAGAGCAATCCGAGTTCCAGACCCATCTGCGTGTAGTACCATCGAGACACTGTTCCAGGGATTTCAGCCTAAACTCCCTCTGGTCACACGTGGAACCCAGTTGCTAGCAGTATTCCTTTCTGTAAGTGCTAAGGAGTTCCCGTTCAGTGCCGTGACGTGCAGTGAATAATACAGTAAGGAGGGAGTGACATCGGAGTAGTGAAACCAACTAAAATGCTTGCCCAACCAGGACATAGATGTCCAAACAGCATCCAAGTCACGTTTAGTCCACCACAGTGTTTTCTTTAGTGCTGGAGGGTTAGGGGTGCTGTCTCTGCTAAAAGTGCCTTTGGAATGCAGCTTTGGGAATGTCCACCCATATTGTGCTGTACTTTGATTATCAGTGGTAGTCAATCCTTAGAGCTGCTTTTATATGTTCAAGGCAGGGATAGTTACACAACTATCTAGAAGTCATTTGCAGGAATTAGAAATATTTTTATTTTCTTCACACTTTTTAATATATACCAAGTTTTCTATAGTGGATGTAAATTATCAGAATGAAAAATACCTATAAAAAAGTTTTATATATTTTAAATTGCATGGACCAAATTGGTTGAATATAAATAGATGCTCAAATTGGTTGTACTGATTGTAGAAAAATACTTAGGAGTAAGATTTCTGCTCTGGTTTTTGCTTGGTTTCCTGGTGGCATTAGAAAATAATTTTATCTGTACTCAATATTTTCACCCAAAATGCCTGTTAATATGATTGCCAAATTTGAAAATGTAATGAGTCAATTAATAGCAGATAGAACGTTGCAGAATGCTGAATACACAATCACGTTCATCTAGGAACATTTCTTGAGAGCCTTGTAGTGAAGCCTGCTCCGACTGCTGTCTGCCCACCTTTTTCTGCTCTTATTCCCCTCTCCCCCATAATACTTATCAACTTGTAACATATTGGATAATTTTCTTATTTACTATGATTATTACTGGTTCTCTGTCAACCCACACACAACTAGAATGAAGTTGC